ACTCTTGAAAGTTCATACCCCCCAAAATCTTGTTCGGTCTCTAAGGTGCTCCTGGACTTAAATCTCAATACCGCAGAGCTTTCACTGGCCAGATTTAACGCTCTCCCATCAGCCCTTCTTGGGGGGAGATAGACACGCACTCCGTAGGCGCAACATCTCTGCTCTTTGTCAGTCTGGATCGGTAGAGACAATTGAGCATGTACTTTTACATTGCCAGTATGACCAGAATATTGGGGAAATGTACATCACTCCAATTGTATTCAGTTGGATGTCATCATTTTTATACTTCTTTTCCCCCTTGCTGATTGTTGTAATGAAATTACTTCCAAGGTAGCAAGATTTTGGGCTTCGGCATGACTAATTAGACAGAAGATTGCCGCTTCGTTTTAACAGTTTTAATGGATTTTATTCTATCAATGTATGTTTACACTTCTAATTAGCATGCTCATATATGTGTAAATGTATGCTTACACTACTAATTAACATGTTCAGATATGTAATAAATATATACGTTTACATAATTGCTGATATAGATGCTGATCTTGGATTGATTGATTGACTGACTCAGATCTCACTCTTCCACTGCAGACCAAAATGGCTGCCCTTCTGAATAGACTGCAATGTCACTTTGGGATTTTGTGTTTCAGAAGTGGCAGTGTGTGGAAGATCCCAGCGGGAAGCTCAAGCTACACAAATGCAAAGGGATGGCCAGCCTCACAGCTCCGGGCAGCAGCAAAGGCCTGCCCAACCTGATGCCCAAGTACTACAGCCAGCTCAGTGAGGACTGCAACTGCGAGGAAAATGAATACAAGCTGAGCCCCATTGGGAGGCGGAAGAAGCTCTTCTCCAAGAAGAGTAAGTGATGCCTTTGCACACTACAGAGGAACTTGGCGTAATTAGGCTATGCTCTTCAAAGATCGATATTAACCTGACTCAACTTTAGTACAGCATTTTCAACTTTAGATGCCTTTAATTAAGGGCGAAGGAGTGCAGGACAGGTTCTAAAACATTCACTAGATTTATGGAGTTAGGGATTTTTTTTTTCCTTGTTTGCTGCAAGCAGAACTCAGGGCTAATTAGCAGCACTGTCCTAGATAGAACGCAGCCCAGCTGCATTGGGTTCCATGCCATAGTTTGTTCAGAACTGCAGGAGGCAATCTGGAAGAAGACAAGAAAACCACCCCAGCCTGTTTCCCATAAGCACCGATGCACAGGAAGTCTACCGTGCAGGCTGCATAGTGCCCTGTGAGGATCTTTTGAAAAAGGCATGGTCAGTCCTGCAATAGTGGCAGATGGTACATTAAATACGTACCTAGTGACGGCACCCACTGTTCTTGGGAAGAGGATGTGGCTCGTACCTTCTGAATGCAGAGGACTCCAGGTTAAATCCCTAGCATTCCATATAAAAGGATCTCAGGTGCAGGTACTGGGGAAGACTTTTCCCTGCTTAACAGCTGGGTGAGATGCTGCCAGGCAGAGTAGGCAGTAACCAAGCTAGAAGGATCCCAATGGTCTGGCTTGGTGTACAGGAGTTTCAAAGGTGGTTCAAAGTGCCCTGGGTTAGATTCTCAGGATGTTGCAGCACTCATTCATGCTTAACAAGGGTGTGGATACTTTCTGTTCCCAAAGCCGCTTGCTGCTTAATGTTTTCCGTATAGGTTCAGCCAAAGGTGCCAAAGTTTGATTTTTCACCAAGCCTGCCTAGGAAGCGGATTGACTTTCCTTGGCAGAGGTCAGGCGCTTTTCCACATAGCCCATTCCACAGGCTCTGCTTTTAAAACTGGAGTCAGGGTAATATCTATATTTGAAGTGCATAGTCTAATTATAGATTAAAAGAGCCAAACAGCAGCTTGGAATTATTATTCAGCTGTAAAGTTTCTTTTTGACTTGCTCAACAAATGCAGAGCCTTAATTATTTAGCAGATTAGGCTTTCTCGGTAATGACCTGGCACAAGCTTCAAACGGGGAGTTTAAATTGATTTTCTTCCTTTATATTTGCCATGCAAGCTGATTAGTAACTACTAAGCTAATTTTTAGGTGAATAAAATTATTGGTTCTCAGGTGAAATTGCACAAGGGGCTCTTGCCACTTAAAATTTGTGGCACAATAGATAATCTTCAAATATTGCTTGAGCTTGAGGTTTAATTAACTTGTTCTTGAAGCAGAGGTACATTGGAAACCTGAGCATGGTTAAGGTGAATTTGCTAGTAACTATGGAGCACTGGAAGTCACTAATTTGGCAGGTAAACCTGATATTTAAGGGAGGGGGGAAGCATAACACTGGTTTAGACACTTAACATTTATCAGGCACTCAGCAAAGAATTTATTAGCACCTTTTCTAATCCCCCTAACATCCTTGCTAAATGGGTAATTATCTCAGTTTTAAGGTGCCAAGGACCTGAGGGCCTTTCCAGGGAATCTGTGTATATAACTGTGTATATAATTCAGTAGTGTGAGAGCCGAATATCTTCTTTCATAGTTCATTTAATTCTGATTCTAAGATACTATATGTTCCTCGCACTCAGATCCTAATATTTTGTCGCAGGGGGAAAAACTGTTTTTGCCAGTTTGGTGCAGTGGTTAGTAGTGCGGACTCTAATCTGGGAGAACTGGGTTTGATTCCCCACTCCTCCACAAGCAGCCAGCTGGGTGACCTTGGACAAAGCTACAGTTCTCTCAGAGCTGTTCTCTCAAGAGCAGTTCTCTAAGAGCTCTCTCAGCCCCACCTACCTCTAGGGTGTCTGTTGTGGGGAAGGGAAGGAGATTGTAAGCCGCTCTGAGACTCCGAGTAAAGGGCAGGGTATAAATCCAATCTCTTCTTCTTCGTCTTCTCGCTGCTTGCAGTCTTGATCTTTGAGCTACCAGCACAGTTGAGAATTGATTTTGTATTTATGAAATCTTTTTTAAAAAATGAATATTCAGGTGTGGGGGGACTGTGCCTGTTTTCTGAGTATTCCATACCAGCACATAATGTTGGTGCATGAGTGCTGATGCCACCACATGTGTGCGCTTCCTGGGTGCTTTACTTCTTAGAAGACTTGCTTAGGATTGCTCTTTATATGATTTCTCCTTTTTATGGCTTGGTTCCACCTACGCCCCTGCCCCAGCACTACTCATGGAATCATAGGGTTGGAAGGGATCTCCAGGGTCATCTAGTCCAACTCCTGCACAATGCAGGAAGTTCACAAATACCTCCCCCCCACGCCCTCAGTGACTGCCACTCCATGCCCAGAAGATGACAAAAATCCTCCAGGATCTCCAGCCAAAATGGCCTGGAGAAAAATTGCTTCCTGAGCCCAAAGTGGCGATCAGCATATCCCTGGGTGTGTAAGAAAGGGCCACAAGAGCTAAGCACTAATGCAACCCTTCCTGCCCTTCCTCTCAAGACCTGCCTAAGTTTACAGAATCAGCATTGCTGTTAGATGACCATCTAGCCTCTGTTTGAAACCTCTAAAGAAGAAGTGGAAGGCTACTTGGAAATCCAAATATTTCACTCCGCCCCCCCCCAACCCCAACCATACTAAGAAATAAAAGGGGGATGGGTCTGGAACAACAATATTTGGAAACAGTGCCTTGGATCCTGTGAGGTTGTTCTCCTTATGCTTTTCTCTAGCTGCTGCAGCGTTTGCACTTGTGTCCTCTGCTGCTAGCACCTTCTGCATGTGTAAGGGCTCCTTGACAAGCATTGATCTGGTGCACACGGAAGTGCTAGTGGCAGAAGCAAGCACAGCAGCAGAGGAAAGCCTCCATAGCAGCCGGAGAGAAGCACCAAGGGGAACGATCTGTTAAGATCCAAGCCCATCTGCCCCAGAAGCAATCAAGAAACCTGATTCCAATAGCAAACATGTACATCCAATAAAAGGTTATTTGGGGAGGGAAGTCACTAAATCCTTACCAATCACCCAAAGATTCACTGAGAAAAGGTTAATCATTAAAGAATTTCTGCAGATCTGCACCGGGCCTGTGGTACCTGATTTGCTGAGCGATAGCACTGCATGCACAGAATATCTTTTAAAATTCTAATCCAGAGAATTTCTGGAGGAAATGGCAATGAGTTTCTAACAACACCTGAGCACTGTCATCCGGACAGGTTCTGATACCTACAGGCAGGGGTCATTTCGTAGAAAAAGAGGTGCAGGAGATCATTAGCATAATTCATTAGTATAACTCATTTGCATATACCACACCCCCTGACATCACCGGAAGTGTGTCAGAAGGCAACACCCACCGCTCAGGCTCCACTGGACTGTTTTGGATTGCCAGCTATTGGGGGGGGACGTGCAGATCTGTCCTTGCAGAGGAGGAAGAGCTTGAACCTGAATAAAACTTGGTCTTAAAGGTGCCACTGGACTGTTTTGGGCCGGGGGGGGGGCTATGCAACTTACCTGGCTGCTTCTTTCTCTGACTGAGGGCTGCTGGGAGCAGGGGATAGGGCTTGTTGCATGTGCCCACCCCCTGGGCTCTTTACTGCCGGAGCTCCGCTCCTGTGCGCTCCTGCAGGAAACGACCCATGCCTACAGGGGACTCCTAAGCAACTTTGAAGGGTTTAATTCTGCTTAGGATGCATTGCAAACCAGGCAATTACCAACTTTAGTGACACCTGCTTTTCTGTAGTCATTTGCGTGAGTGCTTGCACACTGTTCAGGTACGTGAAGGCAAATGATACTAATAATTAAGCTTGCTCAGGAAACTGAACGGAAGGGCAGCTTTGTGTTGTGGTGCTTTCCTTCCCTTGCAAATATTGCTGCTTCCCTGGCTCCTAAATAACTCTTCCTTATAGGAATAAAATGTGTACCATGGAAAACAACAAACCAGTGGATGCATACAAGGGAAGGGCGGTTCAAGTTTGACGGAACTTGCCAAGAATGGTCAAGTGCATTGGAACATGCCCAGTGTGAAGCTGACACAACTGTATAAGAGTCACAATGAGTTCCTTTTTTCATTCCTTTTCTTTATTTATAGTCCGCCTTTCTTGATGACCCTCAAGGCAGATTGCAAATAGAAAAGATTCAATCAGACAGCATAAGACACTGAGTAAACAATACAATAGAACTAAGATTACAGAGTCAGAAAAAAGGTTTGAAAAAGTCATAAGAACATAAGAGATGCCAATGTTGGATCAGGCCAGAGGCCCATCCAGTCCAACACTCTGTATCACACAGTGGCCAGAAATACCAGTGCCATCAGGAGGTCCACCACTGAGGCCAGGACATTAGAAGCCCTCCCACTGTTGACCCCCCCCCCAAGCACCAAGATGACAAAGCATCACTTGCCCCAGAGTCCCTATCTATACCTTGTGGCTAATAGCCACTAATGGACCTCTGCTCCATATGCTTATCTAATTCCCTTTTGAAGCTGTCTATGCTTGTAGCCGCCACCACTTCCTGTGACAGTGAATTCCAAGTGTTAATCACTCTTTGGGTGAAGAAGTACTTCCTCTTATCCGTTCTAACCCGACCGCTTAGCAATTTCATGGAGTGCCCACGAGTTCTTGTATTGTGAGAAAGGGAGAAAAGTACCTCTTTCTCTACCTGCTCTTTCCCATGCACGACAACCATAATGCAGAAAGTACACACAGAAAAGATAGATTGTGGCTTTAGTTAGTAAAATTTAGAGCTACTGAATATGAGCCAAGGAACTGAAATGGATTCCCAAGAGCTGCATCCCATCTTACGTAGAAGGCTTAGCACAGGATAGAGAGCCAGTTTGGTGTGGTAGTTAGGAGCACAGACTCTAATCGGGGAGAACCGGGTTTGACCTTGGGTCAGTCATATGTTCTTTCAGAGCTGTTCTCTCACAAGCAGTTCTTGAGAGAGCTCTCTCAGCTACACCTACCTCACAGGGTGTCTGTTGTG